GTGTGTGTATATATATATATATATATATATATGTATATCATGGAAAAAATAAAACTGCTCGTAAAAAACAACAACAACAAAATCTTTGGAGATGCGTGTGTTGAAGGACGGAATACCAGAAGTAAAGTGCTAAATTGAAATGGTTGAATAAGATTGCCTTACATTCAGTTATCTATGTAAGTTTGAGTTGAAAAATGTAAGTTTGAGTTGAACTTCACTTTGCATATTCAACTGAACTGACGCGAACCAATGTATGGAATACTGCTTAATTTTTGTAGTGTTTACACTTACATTTCAATATTTAATTAGACTAAGTCTATGTAATAGAACGAAAAGAAGAAAAATGGTGTTGTTTGTTTGTTTTAAATTTCGCGCAAAGCTACACGAGGGCTATCTACACTAGCCGTCTCTAATTTAGCAGTGTAAGACTAGAGGGAAGGCAGCTAGTCATCACCACCCACCGCCAACTCTTGGGCTACACTTTTTTACCAACGAATAGTGGGATTGACCGTCACTTTATGACGCGAACATGTTTGGTGTGACGGGGACTCGAACCCGCGACCCGGAGATTGCGAGTGAAGCTCCCTAACCACCTGGCCAAGCCGGGCCAAGAAAAGGGGAATTTTCAACATTGTTAGATCTATTATATATATTAGATATATTATCTAAAGGATATCATTATTAAATCACTTCAGTGAAGGCAGAGAAAACCTTTTTAAGGGGCAATATATGATATATTTATTCTCGAAAGTACTTTTTATACGAGTATCTTCTTAGAAGCAGGCAAAATCTTAAAAGTATGAACTATTTTATAACTGCCTCAGTAAGTCTTAAGGCTAAAAAAATGAGTTTCGATACCTGATATGTGATCACCATTAATAGCCCATTGTGTAGCATTGAGCTTAACAACGAATAAGTACATATAATCTTTTTTTTTAGTATATATCGTTTATACAACTAAAGTAAGTTGAAAACACCAATTTAAAACAGTTTAGTTTGTCTATAACTCTATCTTATTATTCCTTTTATCGTTGTCAAATAAATCCATTACAAATTTATGTTAGATAAATGTTTTTAATGTGATCTTTTCCATTCATCAATAAATATACACATTTAATGGTTATTTTCTCAGTTTCACACTCCAATATCTTTTGTATTATCATACTTTATTTGTCCCCCAGTAAGTTAACGGTAAGTTTACAGACTTACAATGCTAAAATCCAGGGTTAGGTTCCCCCGTCGCTGGTACTGATATCACCAGTAAGCATATAATTTTTCCACATTAGATGCGTATGACAGGAAACGTTGTCCTTGGCACACTGTTATCATGTCGACACACCTGTACTGTTGTACCAGGTGCTCGTGAACAATATCCGGATATAATGTCAATGATACCTGGAAACAAACACAGCTGGAACAACCACAACGACTCACTTCGCACTTAGTCGTGCAATGTTTGTACTGTTTGATTGACAGTTTGTTTGGCTGCATGATTAGGCTGGTCGTCATGTATAGGTGTATACAAACCGTTATCTTTGACTAGAACGTCTGCGAAATTATTTTTTTTTTGTAATTTCATTAGTAGAGCCAATAAACTGTTTTATGACCGAATTATTTTATTGTTTCTATTTCTACACAGCAACGTTTTGAATAATACGTTGCTTTCAATTTTTCATCAAGCTCAATGTACTGGTTGAATTTCGCTTCATTTTCTCAGCTGTTCCTGATTGTAAGACCATATTTGTTTGTTTCTTTGTTTCCAATTTCGTGCAAAGCTACGACAGAGCTATCCACGCTAGCCGTTTCTAATTTTGAAGTGATAGACTAGAAGGAAGGCAGCTAATGAACACCAACCACGGCCAACTTATGGGCTACACGATTGAAAGAGCGAGAATGTTCGGTGAGGGAATTGGAAATCGCGACCCTAAGATTCCGAGTCGATTGCTCTAACCACCAGGCTATTCCAAGCCTCACCATTTCTGTCGTGCACTAAACACTTTGTTGTTTGAGTGACTTACTTTATTTGCACTTACCTCTCTAGTTCTCGTTGGAGTCGCATAGTGCTTACTAATGTCAATTACACACAATATGTTACTTCTATGCGTAACGATAATTATAAATTCTCTATGAAAATTTTTCTTCCACGCTGGGAAACGTCAATCATGTAAACACACAACGTATAAGTAAAATTTCAGGAGCATGTCACTGGAGTGGGGGAGAAGAGCAGTATGGAGCACCCATACTAAGTGGACCCTGAGGGTGTGCACCTGGGTATTATTACTCATTCACGTGAGGCAGACTAGCAACAAACTACATAGAAAAGAAAATGTGACTGCCATAGTTCCAACAGGAAATAACAAGAAAACGTAAATTTTGCACCCATACTAAGTGGACTCTGAGGGTGTGCACTTGAGTACCCATGTGCGTGCGCGCATGCGCTTCTTTTTAATGAGGCAAGTTTGAAAAAAAAACACATGGAAAACAAGTAGTTTCTTATATTACAA